TGTGAGCCAGCCCCGGGTCCACGTCGTCACCAGCTCCCACCCAGCTAAGCGGCTCACACACATCCTGCGTGCGTCTTCCTAGGGCCTAGAGCAAGGCGAACAACCAGGGGCTAGGGTGGGCGCCTGGAGAGCTGAGCGCCCTCCGTGAGCAGCTCAGCACAGCTGGGAGGGGGGCGGGCACGTCAGGAGAACCGCCCCCTGCTGGTCCCTCCACCCTCACAGCCCTGGGCTAAATAAAGGTATCGAGATGATGATGATGATGATGATGACGATGACGACGACTGCGGCGTGTGGGCTCACAAGGGGTGGGGGGTGCAGGGAGGGCTTGAGTTGGACTAACTGCATGGGCTGTGACGGAAGACTGCTTGGCACCTGGGGCTTCCAGGGGCATCTAGAAGACAGCCTCAAAAGTACTTCCTGCCTCACACGATGTTCAAGGCTCACCACACCCAAGAGAGCAGGTCCATTTGCTGGTGTCTGAAAAGCTCTTTGGCTTTCTGCTCGATGCCTTGTAACCAAGGGACATCCTTTGATTAGAGGGCTGGTGACACGAGTCCAGTCATTACAGGAAGCCCGGCTCAGATTGGGGGTGAGAAGAAACAAGGTGACAGCCAGGCACTGAGAGAGGAGGTCGAGGGAGAAAGGAGGCCTTTGCAGATGTCCCTGTTATTGGCACTGGCTCCCTCCGCTGGGTGGCAACGTGACTGCGCTCTTCCGCTTGGCCTTACCTCCAGAGCCTGGGAGGGTCCGGTGGGGTGAAGGCACTGGGCGCGGCCGAATGGTAGAAGTCTGGCTACAGCCACGTACACAGGAAAGCTAGTCCAGGCCCGAGAGCCTCTCAGGCCCTTGCCAGGACTTCTTGGGAAATGGTTCAATTGGAAAGTGTTTGCTCATTTTGAGCGAGACTTCAGCGGAGGCCACAGAGCACTCTGAAGCCCAGCCTTGTTACCCTCATGGAGGGCTCAGCAGGGAGAGGTTTTCTGGCCAAGGCAGCTTGGAAGCAAGGAGGAGAGAACTGCCTGGGGCTCCTAGCTGTGGAGGTGGGGGGACTTGATCTTCAGGGAGCAGAGCACGATGTCCTGAGCTTCCCCTGACAGAGCCCCAGACAGTGATGGAGCCACATTTCCCAGCTGATCTGGGAGAAGGCTGCCCACTCATCAAGCAAGCCGGCTCTCTCCCTGGATCAGTCGGCAAGGGACTGCTGGGGAGTGAAGGAGAAACAGAATCAAATCTACAGAGAACCCCCTGAGGAAAACGGACCCTGGTATGAATGCATGTAGAACAGCGGTTCTCAACCTGTGGGTCACGACCCCTTTGGGGGGTCAAACGACCCCTTCACAGGGGTCGCCCAATTCATAACAGTAGCAAAATGACAGTGATGAAGTAGCGCTGAAAATAATATTATGGTTGGGGGGGGTCACCACCCCATGAGGAACTGTATGAAATGGTCACAGCACTAGGAAGGTGGAGGACCGCTGATTTAGAATGTCTCAGAGCCCGAGAGAAGTGAAGGTCTGTTTTACCGCATACAAGAGCGTACAAAGGGAGCTCAACTGGGTGGTGGTGGTGGGAGAGAGAGCAAGTGCACCGACTCCTCACGAGCCGACTCTCCCGTGATCCCACATTTCACACTTACAACATGGGAAACATTCTCCCACAGCCCAGGTCCCACATGGGGCCACTACCACGCCTGGGGCATCACCTGCCGGCCATGCCTAATGATATGCCAGAGGCCCATGAGGAGCAGGAACGGAGAGGCTGAGGGTCACTTTCCCCCATTCTTCTGCAATGTCTGGGTGCGACCACACCAAGTGCAGGGGATGGCAGAAAGACACAAGGCCACGGGTGGACTGGAAGCAGCAGGGTGAGGGGCCAAAGGTGCTGGGGAGGTTGGAGGCAAGGCAGAGGGGAGGGGGCTGCATGGAGTGGTGGGGTCAGCACAGATGGGAGATGATCAAGGCTCTCACGCAGGTTAAGTACCAAGAGGTAGTGGGTGGTGGGCATCACCCAACCGATATGACCATCCCCAGCCCCTGTGGGTTTTGTCGTGGTAGGGAAAGAGAGCTCACCATGCCACATCCAGAGATGTTCTGGGGATACTTGATGGACAGTCACTGCAGGGGGTGTCATAAGTGCTGAAGATGGGGCACAGCCTCCGACTCTCACATCACATCCATTTAGCACAACAATCTGGCCTTTGGGACCTTCCCCTGTCAGTAAGTGAGAAGTCAAACAAACACACTGTCATCGAGCCGATGCAGGGACCCTATAGGACAGGGTTGAGCTGCCCCTGTGGGTTTCCGAGGTTGTGATTCTTTCTGGGAGCAGAAAGCCCCGTCGGTGTACATTAATTCCACCACTGCTCATGGCAGGGCGCCAAGCAAGGTCACGGTTATAAAAGTAACCTCTAAAAGGAAAGGTGACTCCCTCCGTCACAAAAACCAGACACCAAACCCAGCAAAGGAAGTGCAGGTGAGTTGGGAAGCACCGCCACCTGAAACCAAGAGCTCGCTCAACCCACGCAGGCTGGGAAACCACGAAGAAACAATTTGAGCCTTGTGTTGCACCCGAAGCACTCGCTGACGGAGATCACAGAACGCAGCCTTCGTTTGGATGATACCTCGCCATCAAACAAAGATTCTCAAAATTGGGCCAGTCAGGAGCAACATGGTAAATGGAGAAAGGATTGAAGTTGTCAAGGATTTCACTTGATACTGGATATCCATGTGCATGGAAGCAGCCGTCCAGCTGAGAAAGCATATAACGCTTTGCAGTGGGGACATCTGCTGCCAAAGACCTCTGCAGAGTTGGCTTCGTGAAGTTGAAGGTGCACCTGACCCAACCCACGGATCACAGTCACACAAAAGATGCACAGTGAACAAGGGAGACCAAAGGACTGCTGCATTTGCTCTATGGTGCAGGCAAAGAATACTCAATTACCACGGAAGCCAGCAGAACGGAGGACTCTGTACTGAGTCAAGTACAGCCAGAATGGTCCTTCCAAGAGAGGATGGCAAAACTCCTCCTGTGTTTTGGACGTGTTATCAGGAGGGATGAGCCCCTGAGGAGGGATATTGTGCTGGGTAAAGTAGAGGGTTCGCAAAATAGGGGACACCTCCAAAAAGGATTGACACCGTGGCTGCCACATGGGTTCAAAGGTAACCATTGTGAGGAGGTGCTACACTGGGCGGTTTTGTTCCATTGGGCGCAGGGTCAGGGTCGCTATGAGCTACACCCAATCTGACGGCACTAACAACCCTGGCTCTCACCATCTCAACACATCCCAGGCCGCCTGCTCCCGCCCTTTCTTAAATTCCAGCTACCGTTATGCTAATGATTAAGAGTTAGGAAACGTCTTTAGATCATGCTCTCAGAAACATAGCTTTTATTTTGACAAAAATATAGACAGGCTGTAAATGTTTAGTATATTTAATGTATGTACATATATGGCATCTTAAAGTGGAGAGCCTGGGCATTCCATTGTGTCATATGCAACAGAGACCTATCCTGGTGGTGTTTTAACATGCACTTTCTCGAATTTCTTCTTCCTTATTCCCCTTGACACCAGCCACTCTGTCAAGCCCTGAAAGCAGATGAGGAATATCAGAAACACGAAGCGTGCACACAGCAATGACACAGGTCACTGTGGTCCTGGATGAGAGAGGAGGAGCTCTCTCTAGGGCAGCGGTTCTCCACCTTCCTCACGCCGCGACCCTTTCATACAGGTCCTCATGGGGTGGTGACCCCCCACCATAACACGACTTTCGTTGCTATTTCACCATTGTAATTTTGCTATTGTTAGGAACCGGCCAATCCCTGTGAAAAAGTTGTTCGACCCCCAAAGGGGTCACGACTCACAGGTTGAGAACCGCTGGTCTAGGGGTTCTTTCAGTCTCCTTTGTTCTTCACCTTACCTGTTACCATCCAGGCACCACCTTCTTTCCCCTCAGGGACCATCCAGCCATTCCAAGGGAAGCGCCTATTGTTTGAAGCTAGGACCAATGCAGAGCTTTCTGTGCCCACAGATATATACACGCTCCCCCCCCCCCCAGCTGAGAGGGGCTGGAGAAGTGGTTCTGTCTGTTGAGGCTGGCCCCACCCACTTCCAGGGAGAGATGGATCATCGCTCCAGGAGGAGGACGGACGCTTTATTTTCGAGGGGAGCCTTCGGCTGCTTGGGCATACGAGCCTGAGACTGTTCAGCTGACTCTCAGACCAAGAATTCGGGAAAGAGTGCTCACCTTCCATTCCTAAGTGTTCTTCTGAAGAGTGGTTCTCTTTGAGGAATTCTTCCTCGATCCAAATCTCGGTCAAGCAGGTGTCAGTCAGCAGCATGGATTCTCTCTTTCCTCCTCTCATTACTGATGCTTGAAGCTCAGTGACCCACTGGTGATAGACAGGGCAGGTGGCACACCGAGAGAAGAACCCCTTGAAGTACTGAAAGGAAGAGCAGGCCCATCAGCTCGGGGATTTGCACCGTTCGACCCCGACTTCTGCCACAGCACCTGTGCGACAGGCCTTGTCCTGCATGCTGGCCCAGGGCTGGGGGCAGGGAGTGCTGGCTGGTGGCAAGTTCTAGGACATGGACTCAAAATGCAGGGCTGAAGGGAAACGTATTGACTTATCGACTGAGCCATTGAGTGGGGTTCATCGAATAAAGCTAAATGTTAGTGGACTTTTTAACAGCCGTGCCATGGGTGGGGGGTAGGGAGGATTTAAGGAATCCACTCCTGACCCAGTCTCAAGACTCCCTGGGAGGGTAGATGAGCTGCGCGCAACGTCTTTATACTTAAAGGTAGAGGAACAAAGGGCTCAACAAGCAGGAAAGGAGGTAGAACGAGTGAAGTTAAGTGTTCAGGGAGAGAGGCCAGTGGTAGAGAGAGTAACCAATCCAGCTGCTCGGTGGAGAGCAGCAGAGAAGCGGTACCTGGAGCATCTGGCCCTGCGGCTCTGGGGGGATGTTCACGAAGACACCCTCCGGCATTCGGTGTACCATTAGCGCCTGGCACTCCAGGAAGCGAACAAAGCCATGTGAACCAAACAGCGAGGCATTGGTTCTTTCCACCAGCTGGCGAGCCTTGGAGAGGTGGTGCTCAAACAGCTCCCACTGGGAGTCCTGGGCGAACCTGGAGGGAAAGAGGCACAGCTCTCAGCTTGACCCCCTGCGTAGCAAGGGCAGCACTTTGAGCAAAGCATCACTTCCTGAAGCTCTAATCATGAACGGTCGGATGTCTGGAGCTGGGAAGTGGCCAAAGCGAATAACTCACATTCAAGGAGACTTTAAAAAGCCCAGTGATACTCAGCCTTTCGATGTTACTCTAGCACTTAATGTGAACACTCACCCACTCAAAGTTACCCCATTCCTTAAGCTTTGCCCGCAACGCAGAGAACTTCATCCTCAGCCTACTGAACCTTTCTTACAGATAGGAGGGCAAAAGTAAGCTAAGCCAAACACAAAAAACCAAACCCACTGCCCATTGTGAGTCACAGCCACCCCATAGGACAGAGATGCTCCTTAGGGCTTCTGGAACTGTAAATGCTTAGAGAAACAGACTGCCGCATCTTTCTTCCTCAGAACAGCAGGTGGTTAGCAGAACCATCCTTAACCCAGTGCACCACTAGGGCCCCTTAAAGGGAAGTTAGGCATGCTGGATTGTCCTGCCTGGAAGGGTACAAGGACATAGCTTAAATGACCCCATGGTGTCCTTCCATTCCCATCCTTCCCGATCTGCCTCTGAATGCGACTCTGGTGCCCGCATTACCACATAGCCAGGGAGGAGTGGACCCCCAGCATGATGTTGCTCTGAGAGGCTAGGACACAGCTGTGCTCATGGCGCTGGACGAAACGCAGACATTCTCGGAAGGGTCGGCACAGCAATCCTGTGGGCAGAGAGGGTACCAAACTAGGATATCATGGCAGGCAGGGACGGGCATAGGGTAGCAGGCAGAAGTGGGGAGAGGAGACCTGAAAGGCAGAACCTTCTGAACCACCCAGTGGTTCTTGTCCTTCAGGGACCAGAGGCCTCAGCCATGCCTTGGAGGTCGGCCTCATGATTGCCTGTTCCACCCATGCAGGACAGCCGACTGAGAACAGTTACCTTTCCCATAGAGGAGCAGATCCAAGCAAGCAGAGTAGAAGCAGGCCAGGCCAAGGACATCATGCCCCTGGGAAATGAGCACCCACTGGCTCTCCAGAACCCGGACACACAGATCAAATCTGTGGAGAGACACACACTGGTCCAGGAATGGAGTGGAGTGGATGGGGCAGGAGAGGAGGGGCGCCCAATGCCTTAGAACACCTCGACACAGCTCCCTTTGCACAGGGAGCCCCGTGTGCACCTCAAAGTAGAGGTCTTCAAAGGAGGTGGGAAAAAGGCCTCTCAGGGTCAAGTTGCTATTAAGTCTCCAGAAAATGGAAAACAGATAATAAGTAGATAAATATATAGACCAACAAATGAAAGATGGCCCATGAGGATGCACACGAGGTGCTGCAAAGGATGGAGTAGTTCAGCATTACCACTGCCAACCCCATACACAATACTTTCTGGGGTGCCCGGGGACAAGACCACCAGACTGTGGAAATGGTACAGCGTCTCCCTCTCCAGCCCGAACCTCCCTGCCAGAACATCCCCACCCCTTTTAGACAACAAACACCAAGGACAGGAAATGATGGTAATACTTCTTCTTCAGAAACGCAGATCTGAAGAGAATTAACAACACCAGCTTCTCCAGAGCGGGTATCTTGAAGTGTCTGCATATCTCGTAGGCTTGAAACCCTGAGGAGGTCAGAGAGCACTGTGTGAGTTCTAGCTAGGAGCCTGGGCTCCCCAAAAGCCCCAGGCCTGCCAGCCCCAACCACCATTACCGAGGCTGATGGCGAAGTCCAGATGGCCGAGGCAGAGTTTGGTGTAGGCCAAGGCCTGCATGAGCTGGGCCGTGGCCATCAAATCTACTCTGGAGAGCCAGCATGCGCTGCTTTTCTGAATGGCCATCTTCTCAGAGCGCAGCCACGTCTCCCTGTCGCCTACACTTTGAGAGTACTGGGAGAGGTCCACGTAGGTAGAGATGACCTGTGGGGCAGCAAACATGGGCAACACAGCACTGTTCACCTGCTGGGTTTCCACGGTGCCCTGAGCCCGGGTCAGAGCCCACTACAGGACTCTGCTGCTCATCTGACCCATCCAATGGTGTGCCTGCCGCTGGCCTCTACTCCGGCTCTGAAAACGTGCTCCTTCTGGCCCCTGCGCCTCTACAGAAGCTAGCCAGCTCTTCCACTTGCCTCTCTCCTTCGCTCGCCGAGATGGTCTCCTTCAAAATACTGGTCAAACTGCCCCTCTTTTGTGTTTTCTTACATTAAATCCTCTTCTGAACTGCTGCCCGGAATCTCGATAGCTCTGTGCACACCTGACAGCATCTGAGAGCTCGCTGCTCCTGCAAACACTGTCTTCCCAGGTTGCCAGGACACCGTGCTCTCTTGGTCTTCCTCCTGCTCCTGATCATTCCTTCTCTTTCTTGGGTTGGTTTCTTTCTTTCTCACACTGACCTCTGAGCAGCGCGGATTCTCACTGTCTTTGGACCTACTGTAACTCTTCTCTACACTCTGTTCCTGGGTTTAAGTATCTTCTACACATTGATGAGTTCCACGTTTCTAACTCACCACCGCTTCCCTAAACCCTAGATTTGTACGAGGGGGGTACTCCCCACCAATGGGAAACAAGGCTCTGCTGGGCGGAGCTTCCGTAGTACACAGTTTTCCTGCTAGGAGGGCATCGAGCAACTCACTCTGAGCCAGTGGCATGCCTGGGAAGGTTCTCTCTGGTCACAGTGAATTTTTTGGTAAAGCAGTTTCACTTGGACCTCATTTTTGTGATGGCCGATTTAAGAGAACAGGGTGCAGCTGTGAAATTTTGTTTCCTGCTCAGGGAAAAATGCTGCAGAAACTGCTGTGACGTTGAGCACAGCTTACAAGGACAGCGCTGTGGGAAAAACTCAAACATACGAGTGGTTTTCTTGTTTCAAAAAAGGTGAAATGTTGATTGATAACAAACCTCATTCTAGACATTCGTCAACTTCCCAAATGGACAAAAATGTTGATGAAATTTGTGCACTTGTGCTCAAGGATCGAAGGTGGACCATTGAAGAGATGGGGAAGTTCTGTGGACTGTCTTGGAGCTCAGCTCAGCGAATTCTAACAGAAGATTTTGGAATAAGGAAGGTCACTACAAAATTCATGCCTCAGGTTCTGACTGACCAGGAACAAGAGTGTTGAGTGGAAACATGCCGTACTTTGGAAGATCAGCTCTGAAGTGACCCAGATTTTTTCCAAGGTCATTACTGGTGCCAAGATATCTTATGACCCTGAAAGCAAACATCAATCAAGCCAGTGGAAGATGCCATCATCACCTCCCACAACCCCCCAAATCTCGTCAAGTGAAATCAAAGATCAAGCTGATGCTTATTTGGTTTTTTTTTAGCATGTGAGGGTGATAGTGCATTTGGAGTTTGGTCCACCAGGTCAGACTGTTAATCAAGCTTTCTATTTAGAGGTTCTGAAAAGATTGCATACCAGCATGTAACAAAAAAGGCCTGATTTGTGGCAGATGGGTGACTGGTTTTGTCACCATGACAATGCACCTGCTCATGCAGGTGCCAGTTTTGGGCAAAAAACAGCATGCCTCTCTTGCCCCATGCACCTGACTCACATGACCTCACCCTGTGCAACTTCTTTTTGTTCCCAAGAATGCAGAGGGATACGAAAGGACAGTGATTTGAAGACATAGAAGAGGTGAAGAAAAAAATCAAGGGAGGTGCTGTCAGCCATCGCAACAGATAAGTTTGAGAAATGTTTCCAAGAATAGAATTGCAGATTTGACAAATATGTTAAGTGTAATGGAGAGTACTTTGAAGGTGATAAGGTTGCTTTGTAAAAAAATGTTTAAATACATAGCTTTGGGGAAAAAATTCCTTTTGGGGGGGGTACCCCCTCGTATGTTACTTCCTCACTGTCTGTTTCTCAGTGCCAAGATCAGTACCTGGCACACGGTGTCATCCAATATTAGATGAAGGATAGGCAAGAGGGAAGCAACAGAGAAACAGACAAAACAATGAGCAAGACACATTTTCTCCCCTTAAATCAACAACTCTAACCCTTCTACAAGGACTTCTTCGAGAACATGACTAAAGCGGTGACCTCCCCAAAGCAGTTCATAGCCAGTTCACGACAGCCTCCTGTGTTCCGGAGAAACTGTGCTTCGATGAGTGAGCATTTAGAAAGGAACCCTGGCGGCGCTGTGGGTTAGGTGTTGGGCTGGTAATGGGAAGTTTGGCAGCTGAAACCCACCAGCTGCCCAGGGGAGAAAGATGCGGCTGTCTGCTCCCGTACAGACGAACACAAGCCCTGGAGAGGCAGAATGGGCTTGACGGCTGTGGGCTAATCTTGGGGAAGTGAGCCACCGGGCTTTCCATCAGCAGGCAAGCCCCTCACCATGTGCACCACCCAGGGCATGGTTTTGAACATAGGCACAAAATCTGTCTTCAGTCTAGAGAGGGACAGATAATCTCAAACTCACCCAAACACTCCAAACTGAAACATCCCCTCAAGTATGTGAAAGGATGTGATGAGTGGTGGCCAGTCATGTCCGGGGTGTTGAGGAACCGTGTGAAAACCAAGGACTTAGCAGGGTCTCTCTCTTCAGCACCTGATCCCGAGCCTGGGTCTGGGGTCAAGCAAAACTCCCTCACCTGGGCTTCGTCTCCAAACTCCTCAGCTAAATTCTTCTGCATGAGTGTGGCCAGGCAGGCAAATCGGCGATTGCTGGCTGTGGCGTCCAGGTTGTAGAGTTGCCAGAGCAGCGAGAGGCAATGCACCTGCTGCTGGAGGACCGCCAACCTCTTCTTACTGTTGTTGAGCACAGGCTGGTTTAGTACACCCTATTCTGCGGCCCCTCCCAACAGCACCGCCCACAAGAAGTCCAGTCTTCCCAGGATGGGGACATCGCCAGACCTTCAAACTCAGAGATGTTCCCAAGCTTCCACTGCTTCTAACGCCATACGCACTAATGCCATTCTTCCCCTCAACCAGGAAACTAAACTAGTGCAATTTAATGACTAGGTGGCACTAACTGTAAGGGGAACGACAACAATAGGAAGGTCCCCATGCTTTAGCATAATCATTTGAAATCAAAAGGCCGCATTTACTCAAGGACAGAATCAGAAGGGCGAGAAAGGAGGAGGAGTGGAAACAGGAGACACAGGAGGAGGTGGGGTAAAGGTGTTTCATTGTGGGGATTGTAATCAATAAAGTGAAACAAAATATGTATGAATGGCATAGAAAATGGATTTGCTCTGTTAACCTAAAAAGACAATAAGAAATACATTGGTGGGAACTGTATATTCTTTCTCTGCTTTCTGTGTGTATATATATGTACACCTATGGATGCTTAAGAGCTCACTGCCATGGAGTCAATGGCGACTCACAGTGACCCTATGGGACACACTGAGTTTCTGAGACTCTAACTGTCTAAGGGAATAGAAAGCTCCATCCCTTTCCCTCAGAGTGGCTGGTGACTTTGAACTGCGGACCTTGCAATTAGCAGCCCAACACCGAACAACTAAGCCCCAGGGCTCCTCCACATCTATGTCTATGTATCTGTAAATATGTGTATAAATACAGATATTTATAGGCATGTGTATTGACTGTCAAGGATTTCATTTATGCGGGTCTATGTTCAGTGATCGTGGAAAGCGCAGTCGAGAGATCGTACAATAAGCTGCACTGGGGGAAATCTACGACAGAAGGCCTGTAGAAAGCCTTTTACAGCCCGTGAAGACCATGGTGCGCCTGGCCCAAGCCGCGGGGTTTTCCGTGGCTTCATGTGACACCTGGGCAAGAAAGGAGCAGGTCCGGAAGACCAGATGCCCTTTCACTAGGATGGGATAGATCCTGGGGAAACCGGTGGTGGAGGCCGAGCCCTCAGAGTGCTCCTTAGCAGACCACAGGGTGAGGCTCCCTTTCCCAGACCTGGCTCTGTCGTCAGGAGGCACCAGGCACTAGAAGAGGCCCTCTTGGTGAAGGAGAGGGCCAGTGCAAAGGAGCAGACTCCTGGTGAGACACACGGGCCTGTTGGGTGGTGGCTTCAAGCAGCAGCAGCTGTGAGGATGGCCCAGCCCGGGCCGTGTTGTGTTTTGTTTTACAGAGAGAGGGTCACTGTGAGTCAGAACTCTAAACCCTACAACGTATTTATCTGATACGGCACTACTATTCTCTACAATCAAATGGTTCTCATTCTGCTAGGCTGGAGGGGTAGGGTGGTAGACCTAGAAATGTGAATTAAATGTGCCTGGAAAGAGAAGTGTGGGTCACTGTAAGTGAAGCCCCGGTCTGGGTCCTGGGTTGGGCACAGGGCCCTGTGGCCCTAGGGGGCCAGTGCAACCTCGCCTGGCTTCTCACTTTGCACTCGGGTTGTTTGCAGGTCGGCTCAGGAAACAGGAAGGCCAGTATTGTTCCAGGAATGTTTGGAAAAGGACACCAAGCCAGGTCCAAGGGAAATTCCTTTTCAGCAACCGAAGGGCCTGCCTCGCCAGTTTTTTGGCCAAGGTGATCTGTCCCATGTTGAAACAGACCTGGAGATGGGAAAAGGAAAAGCGGGCTTGTCCATGAGGGAGGAGCACCCCAGACACACAGGGTTGGTTTCACTTGGGGATGTGTAGTTGAGTCACTGGGGGCTGGAGTGAGCTGGTTGGACCAGAGCCTGGTCGGCAGTCACACTAAGATGCACCAGCAGAGTCAAAAACAAGCAAACACCACGCTCCCCACAAAAACAAACCCACTGCCATCGAGCGCGTTCCAGCTCATAGCAGACCCGAGGGCAGGAGAGAACTATGCAATCGTGTTTCCATGGCTGCGATCTCTACATTTGTCTCCTCGCGGGCAAGCTGCCAGCCTCCTGGCTAGCAGCTGCGTACCTAACCAGTCAGCCACTAGGGCTCCTTAGACACCAGCAGAGGGGGCGAGAGCACAGAATGACGGCATGACGGCGAGGGCACCTGCCGCTCTCACGGCCCACGTGTCTGGCAGGGAACGGCAGGGGACGGCTGTGCTTTACAAAGAGCTGATAGGCTGCAGCGGGAGGGAGAGTCAGGTGAGTAGAGACTCACGGCCCTCTCCGATGCCACCGACATGAGCTGAACAACCACCACAGCCCCCAGTTCCTTCCTTCCCAGGGTGCATCCCAGAGCCCCCACTCTAAGAGGCCATCCCACAAGACGTAACTAGTATCTGTGATTCCCAAATAAGCTTGAGAAGGCTGCATTACAACTTCTACTAAAGGGAAAGGAAGGATGATTGCATTTTAGTCCAAAGACCTCTTGGTTAAAGCATAAATAATGCGATACAGCAGACGACGAAAATATTCCTCCAGTGTCCCTGCACATTATAAACGTTAGGCTTACTCTCCAAACAGACTATCGGAAGGCTGACATCTGAACCCGTTTATATGCACGTAATCCAATGAGTAGAGGACACGAAGGGCACTTCACAAGACTAAAGACACATATGACAATAATAAACATGAGACTGCTTATTAAGAAATACGCATTGAGCCTTCATGGGATTGTCATTTACAGATTACTCTTAAATAGTTAGTAAATAGAAAGTTGTCCATATCGTCTGCTTAGCATCTTAATCTCTGGGAAATCCTCTGACAGAGACATTTTCATAAAGGAAGGCAGAGAACTTGATCAGAACGTTCACTACAGCAAGGGTTAGGGTAGCCAACATTTGAGCCGACCTAAATTGCAATGAAGGGGAATGGCCGCATCAACTCTGATGCATCCATCACTGGTACTTGCCCTTTTGGGTTGTGTGATGGATACAAACACCAGAAGGTAAATATGCTGGGTCTGTACTACCAAGTCTAAATGCCAGATGCAGACGAGAATCTCAAATTGGATCCTATTACAAGTAACAATATGACTGTGTGTGTCAATATGCACCCAATTACTCATTTTGATAGGAATTCGGTGGGGACTCTCCCTGATCCTCTGCGCACACACACACACACACACACACACACACACACACACACCAGGGAATCTGACAAGACTTAATAGGGTCATCGTCAAAGGGAAATAACCAAAGCTCCCAGGCCATCCCCTCCCTCACCTCAGATCGCAGCCTGCAGAACGTGGCCTCCTCAAACCGATCGATCTGCACCTTCCGCCTTCTGAAGAAGGAGAAGGCCGAGGGCTGTCCCAGGAGACTGCTCGCCTTCCTCAAGTAAAAGAAGGCCTCCGGAGGAGGAGAGTGGTGGGGGGTGAAGACAGACATCGGGTTAGGATGGAATGCTGCTGGGGGCCAGAGTGGCGAGGGCTGGAGTCCCATTAGGGTGGGGTGCTGGTTCCGGTTGGAGGGAGCCAGGCCGCTGCGGTAGGTGCTCTCTCACCGCCCCACTCCTGTGTCATGTGCTTTTTCCTAAACCCTTTCCCCTTCCTTTCTCCCTCCCACCTTCGCCTACTCGTCACTCAAGGCTACTGGAAGTAAGGGATCCCCAGAGTCACCGGGCACAGCTGGGGCAGAGAGCGGGTCTGCTCACCAGGTAATTATCGGCAAGGTCCAAGGAGGCTGCAGCAGCCTCCAGGAGGTAGTAAAAGGCGCACGTGTTTTCTCCGATGACCAAGCAGTGCAGTGTGAGCGGGGAGAGGACTAGCTTCAGAATCTCCGCACAGTGACAGGGCTTGGCGGCCAGCACGCCTTTCTCAGGGCCGGGCTGGGCCAGCAGCCTCTTCACTCCATCCAGAAAATCTTTCTCTGTTCTTTGTGGAGAAAAGACGGAGCGCTGAGAGTAGCCATGAAGCGGACACTTGGATCACAGGGCTGCCGGGTCTCAGGGCCAATTCCCCGGGAGGCTTCATGAATTCAGTCTGTCCCTTGCCTCCATCACGCCATATGTTTTTCAAAGTCAAGAACCAGCTATTCAACTGCTAAGCTCTACGAGGGCTTTTTGAAAACCTAAGCCAACTGAAGCACTCGCAGTCCAAACAGGAGATCACCATACCTGAAGAGCTCAATGAAAGCATTAAAATGGCAAAAGGCAAAAATACATTTTCATATTGGCCTATTTGAATTCTGCTGGAGTTTCACTTTCTACATCATCATCACTGATGACTTCCCCTGATCTTGTGACAATTCTGCAGTTATGGTTGGCAGACATTTTCTCCCTCTTACAGATGAAGAAGTCGAGGCTCAGCGAGATTCATGGGTATGGTCTCACAGCTAATAAGAAGTACAACCCAAATTAGAGCTTACCTCTTCTGATTCGCTAGTTCTGTGCACGCTCCACAGGCACCCAGAGGTAGGGCCTTTGGGAGCTAGAATAGAGCTCAGGTGGGAACAGAAAAGTGGGAACCAGGGAGAGCCTTTGAAGGATAATGAACATTCTGACACGTGAGGGAGGCGCAGGTCGTTCTGCATTTCCAAAAGGGAGAGTTGTGAGAGCAAAGGCACACACAGGTGAGTGAGGTGGTGGCTCATGTAGAACACATGCACACATGTGGAATACAGCAAAAAATCAGACTGATGAGTGAAATGGGAATTCTATATCGATTACATAGTGAACCCAAGGCAAGAACGATTACAACTGATGAGAGGGGTCCTAGGGAGGTAAGAGTTATACAGAAAACAGATCCGTGTTGATATCATTTGGGACTGAAAGTCTTTAAGAAGGCAGATTTCTAGCTGAAAACATCTGCTATGTGCAAATGCATGTGCAACTGCTTGTTTTCTTAACCACTAAGAAATACTCTCCCTGAAGAGAACGGACTTCTCAGATCTATTCATCCGAATTCTGGACGGAGGGTAAGAATCATTCCCGCTGGTGGTAGGGTATCCACCCTGGTAGAAGCATGCCCGGGTTAATGGTGTCTGCCTCTCGGTTCCCACCCTCAGTACCTCCATCTACCTGCAGTGGCCACTGGAGAAGGACTCCTGGCTCTGCAGTGGTTTTGTCTGGGACTGAAAATTATCTGTAGGGAGAGAGAAATGATCATCTTTAGTGACATGTGCTTGAATTACTTGAGAACATCTTAAATTCCTATCTTTAGGTCACAGTTCAGCTCAGGACCTGCCAGTCCTTCTATTCTAAAACAACAACAAAAACAAACTCACTGCCCTCCAGTCATGGGTTTCTGAGATGGTAACTGTTTACGGGAATAGAAAGGCCAGTCTTTCTCCCGCTGAGCTATCCATGGTTTTGAACTGCCAACCATAAGGATGGCAGCCCTACACATAGCCACCACACCACCAGGGCTCCTTGCTATTATAAAGGTAAGTATTAACATTAGCCTACAAAAGCAATGGATTGCAATTCCCTTCATGGCAACTCTTGGTGATCTAAATCGTTGCTGTTAGGTGCAGTCAGGTGGGTTCCAGCTCCCAGGGGACCCGCGTGCAACAGAGCGCAGCTCTTCCCAGCCCTGCACCAGCCTCACAATTGCTGCCACGATGAGCCCACTGTGGCAGCCATGGTGTCAATCGTCTGAGGCTCTTCCCCTTTCTCTCTAGGCCTCTGTTCTCCAAGAATGCTGTCCTTCTTCTTAATAACATGTCCAACGTATTAGAGATCAAGTCTTGCCATTCTCACTTCTACAGAGCATTCTGGCTCTCCTTCTCCCCAAAGACTTGCGTGTTCTTTAGGCAATCCATGGTCTAATCTAGGTGTCCTCAAACTACGGCCCGCGGGCCACATGCCGCCCACCGAGGACATTTATCCGGCCCGCTGGGTGTTTTTACCCCTTTTGTTTTTTAACTTCAAAATAAGATATGTGCAGTGTGCATAGGAATTTGTTTATAGTTTTTATTTGTTCATAGTCTGGCCCTCCATTGGGTGTGATGGACAGTGAACTGGCCCCGTTTAAAAAGTTTGAGGACCCCTGGCCTAATCAATATTCTTTGACATCACCACAATTCACAGGCGCAAATCCTTCTGTGGTCGTCCTTATTCATTATGCATGTGCGGCCCTTGAAAATACCGTGGCTGAGTCAGGCACACCTTAGGCCTCAAGGTGGCCTCTTTACTTGGTCACACCTTCAAGAAGTCTTTTGCAGGGAGTGTGGTGGTTACGTGCTGGGCGGCTAACCACACGCTCAGCATTTGAAGCCCCGGCTGCCCTGTGAAGTTGCAGTCTCAGAAATTCCCCGGGCGGGTCTACCCGGTTCCCTTGGTTCTCTGTGAGTCTGCAGTGACGCAAGGGCAGTGAGTTTAGTCTTTTTGGTTTGAGTGTTTGCATTTGTGTCCAATGTAATATGCCATCTGATTTCTTGGTTGCTGGTTCCATGTGCAATGATTATGGATGCAAGCAAAACTAAATCCTTGACATCTTTTCTCCATTTGTCATGCTGTTGGCTTATTGGTCCAGTTGTGAGGATTTTTAACTTTTTATGTTAGGGTGTAATACATACTAACAGTTGTAGTATCTAATTTTCATCAAGATTCAAATCCTCTTTGTTTCAAATCCTCTTTGCTTTCAGTAAGCAAGGCTGTGTCACTGCTTATCCCAAGTTGTTACTGAGTCTTCCTCTGGTCCCAATGCTACCTACCCTCTTCTGCATACCATCCACTGTCTTCCATTATTTACTCAGCACACGAATTGAGTCAGTGTGGTGAAAGGATACTACTTGCTGCACATCTTTCCCGATTTTAAACCACACCCTATCCCCGTTCTGTTAGAACAACTACCTCTTGGTCTATGCATGACCCCACATGAGCACAATGGAGAGTTCCGGAATTCCCTTTCTTGGCAATGCTATGTATAACTTTTTATGACCTACACACTCAAATACCTTTGCACAGCCAACAAAACACAGGTGAACATCTTTCTGGTATTCTGTGCCTTCCGCTAAGATCCATGTGATGTTGACATCTTTCAATCCAAGAAAGATGGATTGAATCCAGCTGCTTCAATTTCTGGCAGCTCCCTTTGACAATCTGAATAGTAACTCCTTTTGTTCCAACCCTCCAAACAAGTTCCCAACTCAAGGAGGCAGTGTTTGCTAAGTAAAGGGAGCAATGAATAAACTGCGTCTCGCTCCTGGACTCCTGGCTACCTCTATCAGTGGAAATCTCTCTGCTTGGGTCAGGTTCATAAACAAGTCAGCGTCAACCACAGAGCCCCAAGACTCGGTAAAGAAAACCGTGAGAACACAAGATGCCACAGTCCACTAGAATCAGAGCGACCAACGGTTTCAGTATTGCCGTGGTGACCTTAAATCGCCTTTGTCTTCCAGATTCGCTGCTTCTTTTGTGGCTACCTCTAATGTGCCAAAACAGCGACGATGGATGCTGAGATCGTACGTGCTAGGGTTCAGAAGCACAGCTGGTAAGATGGAGTATCTGAGAGAGGGACGTGTGGTAGGAAGGGTCTGGGTGAGCTGACAGAGCTGGCTAGCCCTCCGAGTGGCCATGATGTCAAATAACAGCTGTGTGCAGCTCCAAGGGGACCACCCTAACATCACAGTGAAGAGCGCCCTCTGCAGGTGGGCAGCGCGTGGTCTTCCTAGCCGAGCACAGAGGTCCTAGGCCTCCCTTCGGGATTCAGTGTGCGGAACAGCTTGAGTCTCCGTCAAGTAGACTGACCAGGCTGTCCAATCTAAAATGGACACTGACCTGTCAGAAGCAAAGAGCCACACAGGAAATGTGAGTGACGCTTTGTTTTCTTCACAATACCAGACCAGGGCATTCACTGTCATTTTTCTCTTTCCCCTCTTAAGCTACAAACAGTGTAAGTGCTATGGAGTTCACCATCCAGTGATCCACTGCTCTAAGGGGCTGGCCCATCTCCCTAGAGCCAGAAGCATGCTACACAAACATAGATCTTACCTCCTTCATTTTAGCCCTTATCACTAACGATCCATCAGACCTCCACATGTCCCCCAACTAACGTCGATGCCAAAGCCAACACCAACACCAACATCATCTTTTCTGCCAAACGGTAGTGAACGAGAAACTTTGCCTGCGTCTTACTAGCGGTCTTTAAACGTGGAGGAAGGCACAGCTGTGGAAAACGAACGCGGTCACAAGGAGGGAGGTTTAACTTGATGAGTGAAACTTCCTAACAGCGGGAGACAATGAAACGAGCTGTTCTGAAAGGCACAAAAGCAAATAAAGCCACCTCACCGCCATCGAGCCAATGCCTACTCATGGCAACCCTAAAGGCCATGGCAGCACTGCCCCTGCGGGCCTCTAAGACTGTAACTCTTCATGGGAGTAGAAAGCCCTGTCTTTCTCCCGAGAATTGGCACAGTGGTTCTCAACCTTCCTAATGCCGCGACCCTTTCACACGGTTCCTCATGTGGTGGTGACGCCCCGACCACCAGCAACCATAAAATTATTTTCGTTGCTACTTCATCACTGTCATTTTGCTACTGTTATGAATTGAGCAACCCGTGAAAGGGTTGTTCAGCCCCCAAAGGGGTTGTGACCCACAGGTTGAGACCTGCTGGGCTAGAGGTTCCAAACTTCTAACTTTGCAGTTAGCAGCCCAGCTTGTAACCACCAGAGTGCCTTCTGAAAAGATTAGAGCAGAGAGGACCACGTAGCTGCGATGTAGTAGAAGGATTATAGGCAATGAAGAACACCCATCCAATAAGCCAACCTTCTTCAAGTAGCTAACTCCTACCTATCCCTCAAGATCCAGCTCTGGGGTTAACTTCCTCAAGGGAGCGTCCTCTCGGATTCATTCCCCAGGTGGGGTCAGCAGTTCCTTCCACAGCTATCCAAGTCCTTATGTAGGACATTTCCATGGCCCTTACCATGCCACCCTGCAACTCTAGTTGAGTGTTTGTATCATCACCCACTCAAAACAAACAAACAAGTGATGGTGGCAGGAGGGCACGGATGGGAATTTATTCATCTTGTATTGATTTTGGAACTTATTCATTGTGTACTCTTAACAGCTAATATAGAATTTGATCCATATAAAGTCTCAATGTATATATGCCAAAATGAGTAATAACAATATCTAAAAAGTATTAAGTACAATTCAAAGCATACTACATATTTGAATTCATTTAATCCTCAAACAACACTCCTCCCCCAATTAACCGATGTTAAATAACTTGCCCAAGGTTGTCAACAAAACCAAATAGGACCTCAAAGTTTCCTTGTAACTCGGAAATGCTGTTCTTTAAATCGTTGATATTTTTCGGAGGTAAATGGTCCTTCGTTTCTCCCTTAATCCAATTGCTACTTTTTTCCCTCTTTCTATTGCTACTTTTTGATGATGCGCTTCAAATACAGGAATACAGAGAAGTGCTGCCCACAAGCCTACTTTTCTGCTCCGAGTTTACCTTGAGGAGAAGGCCGCTGCAATCTCTCTGTGACGACTCGTGTTAGCACCGAGCCGGTGTCATTGTAGCTGCAGAATCGGGACATCCCACTGGAGCGCTTAGCAGAGCAGATGGCAAATCGATGGCAGGGGACAAAGTCCCCCCTGTGGCAGCTCCCACAGCGGCACGCCAGATCTTGGAGGAAGCAGGCACACTCAAGGTGCAGGGCTCTCTGCTGCTCCTTGGGCCACAGCTCCCGAGCAGCTGCCTGTAAGAGAGGCACTCCGAACTCTAGCACCTCCGTTTCCAATGGGGGGGATTCCTCATGTAGTCTGCCAGGTGAGGCTGAGCCAGAATCTGAAATACAGAAAACTGAAGTCAGCCTCTCTTCGAGTCCTTGTGGGCTATCACGCAGCAAACTCCCCAGCATGTCACAAAACTCAGACTCGCTGCCGTTGAGTTGATGCCAACCCATAGCAACCCTATAGGAAGGACATGACCCTACAGAACTGTCCCTGTGGGCTTCCGAGACTGTAATTCTTTGTGGGAGTAGCAAGCCATGTCTTTCTCCCAAGAAGCAACTGGTGGTTTTGCACTTCTGACCTTGTGGTTAGCAACCCAACATGTAACCAGCATGCCACCAGGACTCGTTTATAAGAAAACGTTATGACTGCCTCCTTTGTTTAAACAATTCTGCACCAAGCTGAGAGATATTGACCACATCTAGTGCAGCGTATAGGAGGAAGAAATGACCAGGGGTGTAGAAGCATATTAAATTTTCTAATTACTTCTAAATTGAGAGATCCCTGCTAGTGCTGCGGGCTACAGCTATGGCTCCTTTGTGATGACGAATCGTTTCTGTCTGGTGTTGCACTTTTGTTTTCAGCCTGAGAATAAGGGAGCAGCCCTTCCTCACCTGACTTTTTCTCCTTCTCTCTGGTTTGTTCAATGGTCTCAATAGAGGAAGGCACTAAAATTGGCTCAGCAGGAAGCTCCTGGCTCTTGGTGCTCCAGTGGAACACCTGTACCTCCACCAGAGCTCTCAGCACCTGCAGCAGCTTGTTTCTGTCCCAGCCAGGCAGGAGGTGCTGCAGCAGATCTACGTGGAAGGCGTGCCCGATGACTGCAGCACACTTGACCAGCAACTGTTCCTCTGGGCTCAGCGCATCCAGTTGGTTCACTGCTAGGTCTACAACCAAGACAAACTCACATCAACAATGGTTAGGACTTCTTCAAATCTAGAACGCACTGCATTGATTGCCTGTCTATTCTTAAAGCTCCCCACTCCCACCCCCTCCTAACCATGAGTCAGCATCAGCTCTATGGCAGTGAGTTTGGTTTCTTGGGGACAGCCTACCTTGCTACCATGCTCCCTTCTCCACTCATTCCTATCTCTTAGAACCTTGTCTCTGTGCCCTCAGTTCCCACTCACTTTTCAGTCAAACGTAATCAGGTCTCTACCACATTATGGAAACTGCTCTCCAAAACGTTTTGTTGGTAGACCCAAGGCAACTCTCTGAATCACTCTGTTACACTAACATACATGGCCTGGGAGCCCTGGTAGTATAGTGGTTACACGTTGGGCTGCTAACTGCAAGGTCAGCAGTTTGAAGCTGCCAGTCTCTCAGTGGGAAAAGATGGGTTTTCTACTCCTGTAAACCTGCAAAGAGTTCACCTTGGGCGCTCACTGGGACAGTTCTACCCTGTCCTGTAGGGTTGCTGTAGGTTGGCTGTGGGTTGATGTTTAGTCTTTATTAGTACCTAGACTTTTAAAGGGCTCTTCAGGCAATGCCAGAACTTCTTTCTGACAAGTTTTTTAAGATATTTTTTAATGAGTAGAATTCCCACCAAATTACTAATTGCAATGATATCTGTAATTGGTTCACTGGAGGTCCTCAAAAGACATGCCTTTTAACAGTGGTGGGAGAGGCACTGTATCCAAGTTCACATCATCCTTGACTGTGCAGACACAACGTTCCTGGGCTGCTTCTGCGCTGGCAGGAGAAATACTGTACATTGTGTACCTCATGGCACTGGCTGTATGGGAAGAAGACCGTGGCTCAAGAAAACACCATCTTGGCGCTTACAGAAACATAGACCTACAAGAACGAGGCCACGAAACGAAGAGGACAAAGACAGAGTGGATCACTGTTTAAAGTAGCCTCTCCCCCTCACTGCACCTCTTCCTGAGTCTGTCCTGAGAACTGACCACAGGCTCTGGACCACCTGGTCTCTTACCTCGGCTCACTAGGCTGGCTCACCGGCCAATATCCCTCACTTCTATTACATCGCAACTCTAGGAAGCTTAAAAAAAATTTTTTTTTTTAATTTAGACATACTTCTAACCCTTTCTTACTCATCCAATCATCAAGTCATGGTTCTCATCAGTAATGTTCAATGATCTATTTTGGATTCTCATCTGTATAAATCCTATTTCTCGATTCCCACCCTTGAGCAGTTCAAAAAGGAACTATGCTAGATTGATTGATCATTAAGTTCTGTGTGGCAGCTAGAGTGCGTTCATGGTAGTCACCTCGTTAATAGTGTGCTTGGCTGGGGAAGCCTGGTCTGACCCGCAATGCCCTAAGAGACTAGGTCCGTGCTTCATCGAGTGCAGGCGATGCCATGTTGGAGCATGAACTCCAGCGGCCGGACCCGGGGGGCTGGGTGTACCTGAGAGGCTCTCCCACTTGTTGTTCTCCTCCTCCTCCTCTTGTAGGTCATGAAACAGCAATATGTCCCTAGAGAGAAGGTCCTGACATAGGACCTGGCAGTAGAGGGGGTTTCCAAAGCACCTGCGGAGAAGGTAGCTGCAGAGAGGTAAACAGATGGCTGACTAAACAGCACACTTGAAGACCGCCAAGCATAAGGGTACTTGATAGTGAGGGCTCTTCCTTCTTTTGTTAAAGTCAGTTCTTGATGCATTAACAGAGGAAAGCAACAACACAAAAATTCAAAAACAATTTCTGTTTCACTTTGAAATGCATTTTAGCAGAACAGTTCTTTTTCGCAACTAGTTTGCTTCTATTGAGGTTAAGCGTTATTAGTGAATGGTGTTACTAGTTAACAGAAATTAATATTTCTCTGTGTAGGGGCCAAGCAAGAGCTAGTTTGATCACAGGTAATTTACACAGTAAGCAAGCAATTTAAATCCTAACTTCTCAGTGAACATTTAGGTGGATAGCCCCCAGCAGGTAGCCCCTTACTGGTTTACTTGAGTCTAGTCCTGTCCTGGATCTTATTATTGTTACTGCTGCCATTCTCTCCCCCCCACTCCAGTAAGGTGGGACCTGCCTTTCCACTCATATTATGGCCTTGGCGTCTCCCTTCGTGAAGTGCCCACTAGTCCTAGCCACTCACATCTGCAACTCTTGGGGGATGCTCACCACCCCCAGTTCCCAACATGCCATTCTGAATAGCGAGGTTGCTGCCAACATCGAAATAGGCACAAGGGTAGCCTGAGGACACTGCAGGAAGCGCTGGGCCCAGCCACACGGGGTGCAGGTGGGGGACAACGTCATCACCATGATGATGGGCACGCTGGCGAGCAAGGTACCCAGGAACTCCCAGGAAGCGGCGTCCATATACTGAGCCTCATCGATGAGGAAAATCAGGGGTGTTTCCCTCACTGCCTGGAAATAACACCAAAAAAACAAACAAAACATTTCTGGTTAGAAAGGAAGTCGCCCAATTTTCCAAATCTACCATGAGCTTCCCACCCATAACTTAAATACAGTATCAAAACAAGCTATATCCTGAATTCAGCTAATATTTTGTTTTCTGAGTAGAAAATATGGGCTCTATATCTGATTCCTAAAGAAATACACTTTAAGGAATGAGTTTCTTTAGACAAGAGTGTAACTGAAAAATTAAATATACTTAGGAAATAATCTCCACATCAAATTTTGAAGCTTCCAAGGATTTCATTTTGGCAAAGATTTCATCCTGTCTGGGAGTTCAAGACACTTTAAGCCAGCAACTCCCAAGTCAGCTGCACACTGGAATCCCCTGGAGTACTGCTAAAACCACAAATGAACAGACTTTATTTGCGTAGATTGGCGGGGGTAGGTGCGGATGGCAATGTATTCACTTCTCCACATGCCTCATTTTTATACATTCCCACTGTGGCCGGTCATCAACCACTCTGTGTTTAACACGTAACCTTTTGTTTGTATTGTGCACTTATAAAATGTGCGTTGTCAAGTGAACTGTTTCCACGTCAATGCTCCTGTATTACAGATCCCACTATTTCTGTCTTTTCGTTGAGGCACGTCTTTTAGATGGCACCCCTTCACTTCTAACTCTTGCATTAATTCCATCATATTCATTCATGTGTTCACATCACAGTTCTGGCCTCCCCTTACACACCACACTGCAAGGAACATGCCCCCTGGGATATACAAACCAGGGAGTGTGTGGGAAACAATGAATGAAGAGATCATAGATCTTTTCCCAGGAACTTTGTGACGTCCACTCGTGTATCCAGGGCTGAAACTGCTGGGTCTAAAGGATGCACGTTGTTAAGACTGGACCGACTGCTACTCACACTGACCTGGTAGTTCTGGAGCAGAGCCTGAATAGCTGTGTTTCTAGTAAACAGTAGGCCCAATAGCTACCCACTTGCCCAGAGAAGCCACTGTTTTAAATGAAGTGATTAAAATTTCATGAAGAAAGAGGAACAGAAAGTACGAAGGCCCTTTCAGTATGCTGTGTGCTTGCTGTCAGGTAGATACAAATGTCAACAGATGGGTAGAGGATAGGCCTCATCAATGTGTAAGGCAGACAGATTAAAATAAACATGAGCCCCATGATAAGAGTTAAAGGTATGTAGTGAGAAAGTACCCACCTTCTGAAGCACTTGAACAAAGCAAACTTCAACCTCCTTTTGTCTTGTCCGGTCATCCATGTGAGAAACTTTGTAGGATAAGGGAAACTGACCAGAAAATTATTTATATATGAGCATTCAAAATTACAATAAAAAAACACCCAACATGCAGGTTCTCTCCAAGGGGAACAGAAAGCTCTTGTATTTTGACTGAGAAAAGGTTTCTGCTGGATTAAGCATAGAACTACAACGCCGATCCTACATCCGTGTACAGCTCAGAAGGTAAGGATCAAAGTCCCCTGGGCGTTGGAGGGAGAAATCATCGTTCTATATTCAGACCAAAGCCCAAAGCCCTGCCATCAAGTCAATTCCAACTCACGGTGCCTCCATAGACAGGGAACAACGTCCCTGTGGGTTTCTGAGACTGTAATTCTTTCTGGGAAGAGAAAGCCTCGTCCTGCTCCTGGGAGCAGCTGGTGGTTTTAAACTGTTGACCTGGCAGTTAGCAGCCCGATGTATATGGGGCTCCACTGGGTCACGGGGCTCCGTCTTTCCTATCAGACCCTGGGAGGTCTGTAGCGGGTGGGGACTAGGGAAGAGCCGGCCGGACTGGTTGCAATGCCGTTAGCCCAGGATGGATGTGGACAAGAGACTTGCCAGAGAGAGTGCAGAGTTCTCCTACCAGTGCTTTCTGTGTGGGGCTCACCCACACAAGCTACCACGGACCCCGAGGAACCTGGCTGAGAGGGTCTTTCTTATTCTCCTTTAGCCAAACCACGGCCTCAGACCAAGGCCCACCTTCAGAGAGGGTGATGAGGGGGATTCAACAAATACCACTGTTCTCTATTCTCCATTAAACACAATCTCTATTCTCCATTAAACACAATCTCCTTCAGGTCGGGAAGATTAAGAGGTTGGAGGATGAATACATGACATTATGGGAATTCTCAGTCTGCTTTCCTTTGGGTGCCACACAATCCAAAGCCCACTGGCCGCTTTTGAGATTCAGAAGTTTCTTAACATTGATGTACCCTGTGGCTAGAGAATAGAGATGTAGGGTTAAAGAATGAAAACATGTCTTACAGCTGACTCAAAAACACACAGATATGATTGCTGGATCACCCAACATGCCTAACCCTTAACATTGATAGTGCAGTCTCTTATACACTATGTGTTTTAAAATTCACACAAAACTGCTCATTACCATTTCTTACCACTTCACAGAAAGACTGGCCTGCTCCAGGATTTACAACTACCAAGTCGCCGAGTCAGTCCTAGAATCCAGTTTCCTTATAAAGGAGAAAGCCTACCCATTGTTGTCAAAAGGCTTTCGAATCTCAACCTTGCCTATTACTGTGATGTGGTTTGGTTCTTTTTAAATTTACGCTATCAATAAAGATGCACACACACACATCTCTTGGTTTCTGTTCTGTAAATTGTGGACAGGTACAATGAGGAGGAAATGAGATAACACATGCAGAGCCCCTGGCACAGCTCAGTGTTCGGCAGACACTCCGGGAAAAGACTGGGCTTTCTGCTCCTGTCAACAGCTCTAGTCTCGGGAGCCCACAGGAAGGAGGTCACTAGGAGGCAGCATTGACTCCATGGCCCCATGAGTTCAGTCGGGAGTTTTGGAGTTCAGTGAATTTTTGTCCCCTTCCTTTGATTTCCAACTCAGTGTTTCTCTAACTCATCAGCTAATCATCTTAGGAAAAAGGAATCCAAACGGTATCGAGTTAAAGAGAAAAACCCAAGTCTACGGGTATTATGTTAGGAGACAGAGTGACTCTTGAGTCCGACTACCCGTTAAAAAACAAAAACAAATCACACGTGCTACACAATTACCTTCACAAAGAAGAGGTCGTTGAAAAGGCAGTGAAGCGGTTCCTCCACCATGCCACGGAGCTGTCTCTGGAGACACTGTTGGCGGTAGTAGGACGGACACACATCAACCTCAAAGAAGATGGCCATGAGAGTCTGGATGGCGTAGAAGCGTTGACTGGAATCTGCTTCCTTCAGCATCAGTGGCAAAGCCCTGGGAATGTCACAATGGTCAGCGCGGATCCCGACCCACAGAGAGGTCTCTTGCACTGTCAGTCCAAGAACGTGGAGGCTCATGGGACAAGGGTCCCCCCAACAAAGGGAAGAAGCCCCAGAGAAGCGAGCTCGGACTTACGTCAGTGAGCCAGTCTTTACCTGTGTCCGTCCTTCTGGGCTAGGGAGTTTATTTCCGCCAACAGCCGGCTTTTCCCACAGCCCTTTGCACCTTCGTACAAAGCCGCTCTTCCCATCGTGTGGCGCAAACACCCCTGCCGTGCCATTTGGAAGGCTTCTAGTTCTTTCTCCCGGTCTGAAGAGAGACAAGAGTGCCTGAGACGATGGTGGGTTTTTTGTTGTTGTTGCTTTTTGAGAAGTCATTCTAAATATTTGGGTTCATTTGTAAAGTTAAATCTCTGGGGAGCTCTCCCCGCTCCCTCCAAATTCTAAGGATAACCCTATCTTTTGGATATTCTTTATATTCTTTCTTAAAAAAAACCCCAAAAAACTCAGAGATAGAGAAATATATGCTGATCTTGAAGGGTTTTGATCCAGAGTTTAAGTGATAGCATTCACAACAATTAGGTACCATGGTGACATGGGGGTTATGAGGGAGTTTCAAAAAGTTTGTGAAAAAACTTCTATTATCCTTTAATTGCATTTTCCATAAACTTTTTGAAGCTCCTTTATACTATATTCTCTTCGTTCTTTGTGAAAATTTCCATAACAATGATTTAAAATCTTCAACGTCTGTCCCGGTCATGTGAAGATGATGGACAAACATCATAAGAGAATCTGTACTACAGGCGGCGGCAGTCTGGGCGCCACGTCAACACCCCGTGGTTGCTAGGTGCCATATCAAGGCAGCTCCGACTGGTACAAGGGAACCCGCCACTGCCTGCTCTGGCACCTTCCTCACTGTCGCAGCCACGGTGTCAATTCATCTCATAGAGCCTTCCTCTTCCTCACTGACCCTCCACTTTACCAAACACAACGTCCTTCCCCAGGGATCTGTCTGTCCTGAGTGAGCATCTTCATTTCTAAGGCGCACACTGGCCGTTCTTCGCCCCAGCTAGGCTTGTTTGTTCTCCTGGGCGTCCATAGTACATTCAGTATTTGTAGCCAACACCGAAGGCTAAAGGCATCCAGTCAAAAGGAAAATAAGGAGCTGATGCCAGGAACCCAAGCGGAAAGCGAATTTTGAGAATGATGAGGGCAACAAATGTGTAAGTGTGCTTTACACAATTGATGGATGTATGGACTGTGATAAGAGTTGTATGAGCCCCAATAAAATGATTTTTTTAAAAAAAGGCATCCAGTCTCCGGTCCTTATTCATTGTCCGGCTTTTGCTTGACTGAAATACCAGGGCTCGGAGCAGGCACACTTTAGTCCTCACGGAGACATCTTTGCTTTCTGAACTCTTTGCAGCAGCCTTTCGATACTTTAAAGTGGCACATCAGTCCAAGCACGGAGCTGCTAACGGTAAGGGTGGTAGTTCAAACCCACCAGCCATTTTGCTAGAGAAAGAGGAGGCTGCCTGCTCCTGTATGGACCGACAGTCTCTGACGCCCTAAGAAACAGTTCTCCTCTAGAGGGCGGTCAATATGAGTCTCAATCAACTTGATGACCGTGCATTTGGGTTTTTGCGTGTAGGCAGCCTGACCCCATACTAGATGTTGTTTAATTTCCTGATTGCAGATTTTATTGGTGTGGGTAGTGGATTCAAGTGAAATGACATTCTCGACAATTCTGAACTCCTTCTTCATTTACCATGATGCTACTTAGGGTCCCGCTGTAAGAATTCTTCTCTGTGCTGAGGTGTATGCCAGACTGAAGGCCGCAGTCTTCAGTCACCATCACACGTGCTTGAAGTCTTCTTTGCTTTCAGCAAGCGCGGTTGTGTCATCTGCATCATTCCCTCAACTGCCATCCAGTCTGACTCAGTGACCCCACCAGACAGGGTAGACTGCCCCCGAGTTTCCGAGACTGCAATTGTTTGTGGGCGCAAAGGCCCTGTCCCTTAGAGCCACAAGCGGTTTTGAACTTCGGACCCTATGAATTGTAACCCAACATGTAGCCATGATGCTAACAGGGCTCCTTGTCATCTCCATATTGCATTGCTAATGAGCCTTCCTTCCATCCTAAGGCCATGTTTTCTGCATATGAGTCAGATCTCAGATTACTTTCTCAGTGTGTAAATACATAAATATGGTGAAAGAATAGAATCTCAACCCCGGTGGCATTATGTGTTAGGCTTCTAACCGCAAGGTCAGTAGGTTGAACCTTGAGAGGAGGAAGAGGAAGCTTCCACGTCCAGAGAGTGACAGTCTCAGAAACTCACAGGGGCAGTGCTGCCCTGTCCTATAGGGTCACTGAGAGTTGGAATTGACTTGATGGCAGTGAGCTTGCTTTTAAATTAGGATAGGAAAGGAACCCTGGGGGCATAGTGGGTTATGCACTGGGCTGTTAACCACGAAGTCAGGAGTTCAAACCACTAGCCACTCCACAGGAGAAAGATAAGCTTTCTACTCTCATAAGGAGTTCCCGTCTCAGAAACCCACAGGGGCAGTGCTGCCCTGCCCAGTGGAGTGACTTATGAACCAGAATTGGCTCGAGAGTAGCGAGTTGAGCTAAGGTTAGGGAATTTCCCTCTAAAGAGGATCCATAATAAGTTGGTTCATTATTAAATGAATAAACTCGGGTTTTCATGTTGCTACTTTGCAGCAGAGGAGTGGGGTACCACGTGTATCTGCAGTCATCCTGGAAAATAAATGGCAGGCCCTTGCCAATGAGTATAAACTCATTAAGAAGGCTGCTTGCTTTGTTTCCAAATACAATCCTAGAAGCATTGAGTCTTGTGTTTGACTTGTTCTTTAAACCACATTTAGCTATTTACATTGAACCAAAACATGATTTAAGCTAGAAAAAAAAGCTTACCTAATAAAGGCTGATTTTGATTTCTCTTTCTGGCTAAATGTCTCTTCCCAAACATTCTGAAAAAAAAAAAAAAAAAAAGGAAGAACAAAGAAAAATATGTCTACCAAAAATTATTTCAAGGGAAAATTGTCCTTACAAGCAAATACTTTCATATAACTAAAGAGGAACAGAATGCTGTACGCAAGGAGGTTTTTTTCAAGTAAAAACTGTAGGAGCAGGGAAGAGTATTCGTAATGTTCTAGGTCAGGAACCAAATACGCTATGAAGGACACGGGGCGGGGCACGCAAACGTCTGGTCAGTAGTCTGATGCTAGTCTCTTCCTGTCAGAGGCTAGTAGGCTCACTGAGGAGTGAGTTCCGAGGTAATGTAAGAGCTAGGGACCTCAGACACCAAACCCTTTTCTATTCTCCTTACTCTGGCCGGGGCGTGCCAGCAGTACCTTTCTCGGTTCATACAACTGAATACCCAATTACCCCGATGCAAATGAACTATCAGGAAATGACACTCACACACATCTTCTATGGCCAAGGTATGCATACATCTTCCCCGGGCTGGAGATGTGTTTCATCATCTTCTCTGGGAGTTTCTTGAAGTTGTAAGCAGGCAGCGTGGATCTTAGGTATGTGACCTCATCACAGGACACCATCCCTGGGTAAGCAGCTATCATTCTGGCCACTAGGCTTACTTTGGGGCCAATAACTACGCCAGGGAGACAGGACCGAGAAAGGCAAAGCATTTTTGGACTGTTTCCTTTACCTTCATCCCTGAAATCAGAGCTAATAGTTCACGGTCTACCTGTGTATTCATGCCGTGCTACTGCCCCAACAACACCACAGAATACTGGTCCATTGGTGACACTGATGGAAACAAGCCTGGGGATCAGAAAAAGAACCATCAGCAAATTGTCAGAATGTCCTGCCTTCAAGTCAGAAGCCTCCAGGGGAGGCACGAGATCTGCATTCTCTAGAACCACAAGTCTGGTTTTAGAGCTTAGGCCAGGGACCGCTGCGGGTCTATATCACATGATGGGCAAGAGTACAACTATGAGGGAGATAACCTAAGGACCAGAATGGTCTCCCTGCTCTGGGAAGTTTAGTGGGGGAGCTAGTATGATAAAAAATATGTTATAAAGAAGTATCTTATTTCTATCAGATGCTTTATTGTGAAATACTTTCAAATTGATTATCCCATCTGATCTTTTGACTGAAGAAAAGACATAATTACATGACATTGGTCATGCATGTTGTCCCTTTCTGAGAGTGGTTTGCATTTTATAAGAGGCAGCTGTTGGTTAATGAAAAAAAAAAAACCCTCATAGTAGTTAAAGACAGTAGTATGGCTTTTATTACTACCTGTGTGCTAGTAACTTCTCTACTGTGGCACTTGTTTCTTTGTGGGTAAAGGAGGAAGATTTGAGTGTTTCACACTAGTAGCAGCTACAAATGTAGTCTAAATGTTAAAGCAATATATGTGCATGTGAGGAGCCAGGGTGGTGTAATAGTTACACGTTGCGCTGCTAACCTTCAGGTCAGCAGTTCGAAACCACCAGCCGTTGGGGAAAGACAGGGCTTTCTAATCCTATAAAGAGTTTCAGTCTCTGAAACCCATAGGGGCAGTTCTGCTCAGTCCTACATGGTCACAATGAGTGGTCACTGACTCAATGTTTCTGGTTTATATACACATGCGATATCATTTTTATTCACCTCCATTAAGTTATGGCATACAAATTAATTTTGGGCTCAATGTTAACGTTAGAAATAGGGTTTTTCAAACTCATTCGTGTATATACTTTCCTTGTAGCCTTCTATGAGAAAAAGTCACCTGGAGAATTTCAACCAGCTTGGTCATGATGAAACAGGCATTTTTCTATACCTTCGTTAGAATTAGGTTTGTGTGGAAGGGCTGGGGAGGCAGTTATTTCACTGTGAGAACCTGGGTGGGACACAGACAAGCAATGGGATCTGGGACAGACCACGAGGGAAAGCCGAGGAGCAAGTTAGCCAGCCGGGGCCTCTGCCTACTCAGGAAACTGTCCCACAACCTCTCTCCTGTGGATGGGCAGCCTGTGTTCTGCATCCCCTCCACGTACAACCATATCGTTTGTACTCTGGTAATTTATAGTTGTTTGTTATGTTGCAGTGTTCTTGATTCTGTTTCCCCAACTGGGTATAATTTATGGTTATTCCCCTGACTATTCAGTACAAAGTTCGGTACATTGAGATTTCTTAGTAAATCTTGTTGGCTGGCTTCCCTGCACGGGCTCCCCACCTTTTGGCAAATTCTAGATGCCCTCAACCCCTGCTACTTGTCACTGCCTCCCACCCTGCCCCCAAAGCCCCTGGGGACCTGAGAAGCTCCTCTCTGCCCCACCTTCCTCCTCACTTGGTCTCTGCAAGATTCTCCCAGCAGAAGCTGAAGATGCTGAAAGAGCTCTCCAGAGCATGGGCACACTCATTTTGCTTCTTGTCTCCAGGAAGGCCGAAAACACAGAGGAACATGCAGCCCTGGAATGGATGAAAAAGAAGAAGAGATGTTTGCATGGGGATGGAATACAGGTTACCTTAACTGAACCAACTCTTTGGGAAGTCAGATCTCTTATTAACTGGTCTTCTTTCCAAAAATTTAAACAAACAACAGAACCTCACTGCTTTTGAGTCAATTTAGACCCTACAGGACACAATAGAATAGCCCTTGTAGGTTTCCAAGGCTGTACATCTTTATAGGAGCTGAAAGTCTCATCCTTCTCTCTCTGAGTGGCTGGTGGTTTTGAATTGAAAACCTTGTGGTTAGCAGCCCAACTTGTAAACCCCCACCACCACCACCACCACCGGGGTTCCTTAATTGATCTTAACTGTTGGGAACAGAGAATTTTGTAAGATACATAAAATGGACTCCGAGTCACACCAACGTTGAGACAATTTTATGTTACTGACTTCTAAATACCTACTAACAATAAACAGTAATTTAAAACACAAGAAAAGCTGAAATAAATAACATCTAAAATTTTCTATTTTTAGCATGGACCTTGGGGTAAGACTACCCATACTTTCATTACCTATAATGTCAGATATTACGAGGCTCCTCTCCAAGATTCTCACTTATCAAAATGTTATCCAGCTACATTTTACTCTCCAGAAAACACTGCTTACCCTCTCACAAGGGTTTTCAACAAGCACTGGAATCAGAATATGGAGGCTCATCGCTGAGTCCACTAGAATACCCCATTTCTTAATCCCATTATTTGAAGTGGTAACGTAGACAAGCTTGTATGGCAGAGAGATGATTTTATGTCAATGTGACTCTGCATGAAAGTGTGGGGCGGACTCTCCCTGGTCAATCAGGTCACAACCAGAAGATGCCTCTCTGCAGGGGTGGGGCCGTGTGGGGGTTGGCTTTGTCATAAGCAAGGACCCTAGGGACCTCCCTCTCTCTGCTCCGTTGCCTTCCTGCAGCTGGGGCTCTGCCAAGCACCCTGAGTGCTGCCACTGGCCGTGCCATGCTTCCACCGACCTTGGATCCTTGCAACTCTGTTGCAACCCACCAGCCTGTGTTCTTCCCACATGCCGCTCCCCTTTCTACGTCATTGCATGTGGCTCTATGAGTCTGAAGAGGGGCTAATGGACAAGTATTGGGCTTACAGACTTGAGTTGGGCTGGGATGCATCCCTGATATATGATTACTTTTTGATATAAAGCTCTTTCTTTTATATAGATGAGTGTCACTGAATTTGTTTCTCTACAACCTGGCCTAATACAGCATGTCACAAAATAAGTGGCCAGTAATTAGAACTTGTAACACTGACTTCTGTCTGTGTTATATGAGAGCTAAATAGGTCACACAAACAATTATCATGCAGACACGTTTCATGCCGATGGGCAAGTTCTCTTGTACTCACTTTCTCAAACATAAAGATCCGGCTCAGCTGGCCACCCCCTTTCTCAATGGCTGTGGAGATGTATAAGGCCGCTTTCTGGATAAGGTGGCACAAGTGCACCTTCCACGCTGTCTTGTGGAGCTCTAAGCTGACCAAAACCATAGTCACAGTACGGAATTCGGACAGATACTCCACAGGTTGGCCTTCATCAATCTGCAAAGGGACAGTACGTTATTTGGACTGTATCTTCAACTCTCAGCAGCATGTTTGGGCATTGCAAGTCTATCTACCAGGGTGGGTACAGGGCAATAACTTATAGGGGTCGGGCAATAACTTAAAAGGAAAATCAGTTCAAGCAAGATCATGGGCATACAAACCAGTGCACCTAGAATTACAGTTTACTTGACTTTAAACCTCATACACTGATGAAATTTGCCAGAATTTGTATTTTCTATGTGTTAATTCGGTATGTCTAGCTCCACTAGTCATTATAGCTCTTACGAATGGATTCACGCATATGCTTATATATGCACAGTTAATCAACAGATACTTTTCAAACTATCTGCTCCACCCTATTTGATGAAGATGAATGTTTGGAGCCTTAAGTATAGATTATAACTCAATGCAAAAGAAAATAAAATTCTCACAACTGGACCAATAGGTAATATCATGATAAATGAAGAAAAGGTTGAATTTGAAGGATTTCATCTTCACAATCAATGCTCATGGAAGCAGCAATTAAGAGATCCAATGATGCCTTACATTGCGCAAGACTTCTTTAAAGTGTTGAAAAGCAAGGATGTTACTTTGAAGACTAAAGTGCACTTGACCCACATCATGGTATTTTCAGTCTCTTCATATGCGTGTGAGAGTTGGACACTGAATAAGGAAGACTGAAGAACAACGGGCACATTTGAATGACAGTGCTGGGGAAGAATATTGAAAGTACCACGGACTGCCAAGAGAGCAAACAGAATGCTCCTTAGAGGCAAGGATGGTGAGGCTTCCTCTCAAGTACTTAGGACATGCTGTCAGGAGAGACCAGTCTCTGGAGAAGGATGTCATGCTTGGGAAAGTACAGGGTCAGCAAGAAAGGGGAGGGCCCCAGAAGATGGATTGACACAGAGGCTGCAACAAGGGGCTCAAACGTCAGAACAGTTGTTAAGGGTGGTGCAGGACCGGGCCGTGTTTCCTCGTTCTGTTGTGCACGAGGCCCCTCGGAGTCAGAACGGACTCAACGGCACCTAACAACAACAACAACACACCCTGCCTTCAGCGTCCTGCTGGCACTCGCAGGTACCCTTTGAACTGCTAAGGAGAAAACAGTAGTTCAGAACCAGCAGCCACCCCAAGGGAGAAAGATGAGGCTGTCTGCTCCTGAAAGGTCTCGCTGCCTCAGAATCCTTATCTAAGGTCCCTAGGAGGCAGAGTTGGCTCAGAGGCAATGCGTATACCATGTGTGCAGTGCGTTAGCCTCTTGTGAGGCAAAATGGGAAACAAGATGGCTTCTGTCTTCTAGGATGGAGAAACCTAATTAAAGATATAAGACCATCACAGTAATTATAATAGGTGGCTATGTGGTCACCCACTGGGGTTAGAATGAGAATCAGGAGAAGAGCTTGCCTGATACCAAAAGGGCATCACATGTCCATGTTCACACACACACACACACACACACACACACACACACACACACACTCCTCTCTCTCTGAGATGACTCAGAAACCAGGAAAGAACCTTCTTCAGAAGGTTTTTCATGATGTGCTTCCGGAGGGTTTGCTCTAGCGCAGAATCTGGATCCAATTCCAGGGCAGTTCTGAGAGTGTCTAAGAAAAAGAAAACAAATACATTTTCATAGGCCATGAGAATGAAGCTGACGTTTGGGGCTTAGATAGAAAGAATCAAGGCGCTCACCAGCACTTGTGCGGTAATGTGGCAGATAATCCAGACACTTGTCAAAATGCTCATCAAAATCAAATGGGTCAATGATGCGCATATCCCTCAGCTAAAGAAGAGAAATGAAGTTGCTCAACTCCGTGCCCATCCACCACCTCAATTCTCTCTGGTTCCAGAACAGAGGCGCTGAGGCCTCTCTCCTCTGTATACCCTTTATCTCCCATCCTTACTGTTCTCCCTTGTCTGCTTTTCTGGGAGAATCGTTCCAGCCTCCCACCAAACTCACACTCCGGTGGTGGTTGGCTTGGACAGGTAGCTTATGAGCACCCCGCATGATTGTCCTCTGGGCTTTTTCAGGGTGTGCAGTGGGTAGCCGGGCTTCCTACCTTCACAGCTTCATCGTCCCTCATGATTTCCACTTCAAACATGTATTTTTCACATAATTCCCAGCAGTTCCAAGACAAGACAATCTCATTTGCCTGCGCCAAACGCTGAGCTAACTGTACGTCGTCTACATCCCGCCCAATGACCAAGAGGAACTGCCGCTGCTCGTCTCCAATAATAACCTGCGAAATCCGACCTGCAGACAAGCCTAGTCAGAAATAAAGGGAGAAAAGTGGAGAACAACTGAACGCAAACTATGTGGAAGGTTGGGCTGGGATCTTCACATGGCTGTAGGCAACTCTGGGCAAATGGACTCTCTTTGAGCATCATTTTGTTCAGGTGTGAAAAGAAGGAAAGCTCTCGTTATTTCCTGATTGACAATTTGTAGAATCCATCATGATGAGGATATCGAAAACCCAAAGTTCAAGCATTAAGTCATCTTGTCATTGCCCTCACCCTCAGAATTCTTAGGTGAGCTCATCTTTAAACATACCTTGCCCTGATTCCTTCCTGTCTTAAACACCCCAACAGACAGACATTAAAACCAGCCCGAGTTGTGGAGGGGAAGGCGGAAGGAATCGGCGGCTTCCACGTATCCCTAAATTGCTCCTCTCATTGACAGCTAGGTCTGGAAGGCAGAGACCTTCGAGAAGAGGTCAAATCAGTGGTTCTCAACCTGTGGGTTGCAACCCCTTTGGGGTCAAATGATCCTTTCAACAAGGGTCGCCTGATTCATAACAGTAGCAAAATTACAGTAATGAAGTAGTAACAAAAATAATTTTATGGGGGGGGGGTCACCACCACATGAGGAACTGTATTAAAGGGCTGCAGCACGAGGAAGACTAAGAGCCACTGGACCAAATGGTGATACTCAGAAGCTGCTGCCACAGTCCCAGGGCAGAAAAGCACCTTTTCACATACGTACTGACCACGCCATCTCTCCTCACATATAACCAAGGATGAACAATCATTACATTGCCAGCTATAGGACTTACCATTTACTATTATTGTTATCGCATCTTTTATGGTCCTGGGAGATTTCTTACTGCTAATATGGTTGTTATTGTTATTGATAGGTGCCAACGAATCTCTTCTTGGGAACAACCTTGGGCACAAAAGAATGAAAACTCCCTGGCCCGGCACCTTCCTCACCACTGTTTGTGTTGTCCACAGTTGTTACGGTTGCGGCCACTGTGGCAGCCCTGATGGCAGCCATCCCCGTGAGGGTCTTCCTCTTTTTCACGGCCCCTCTACTTGTCCAAACATGGAGTCTTTCTCTAGGGATTGGTCTCTCCTGGTAACATGCAAAAGCACTTACGACAAAGCGTCACCGTCCTTGCCTCTCAGGAGCATTCTGGCCATACTTCTTCCAAGACAGATCAGCTTCTCTTCCATGACCAAATCCATATTTTCCGACTACTGTTCCTCTTGTGTCCAACTTCTCTATTCCAATTGCCATTAATTATCAGCACATCTTGATTGCATGTTTGATCAATTTCCAACTGAAGTCATTAATAGAATTCTTCAGTTTCTTCATCACTAGCTTTTGTGGTTGGTGCATAAATTTGAATAATAGTTGTACTGGTTGGATTTCCTTGAAGACAAGGTAGATATATCCTATCACGGACAGCACTGTACTTCATGACTGATTTTCAATGTCCTTTTTGACAAGGAATATCATGCCATCCCTTGTGCTATTCCTGGCATAGTAGATCATATGATTTTCTGATTCAAAATAGCTACTATCAGTCCATTTTAGCTCACTACTGCCTAGGAAACTGAGCTTTATGTGTTCTCTTTCATTTTTGACAACTTCCGGTCTTTCTAGATTCAGACTTCACACATTCCAAGTTTTGATCATTGGCAGATTTTCGTAGCTGTTTATCTTTACTTGAGTTATGCCCCATCAGCAAATGAAAATCCTAAAAGCTCCACGCCTACAGGCTTTACCAGATGCACGTCACCATGGTCAACTCCACTCTGATACACCAGCTCCTCCTCACTCACGTCACGTGCCCTCTGACCTGAGCGACCTATCCTCTAACAGTATGCCCCCCAAAATGTTCTGCTTCCGTTTATCAGGCCTCCAGTATCTGACAATGTTTCAGAGCTATGCATAAGGTTTTCAGTGGCATCATCCTCCAAAATTGGTGGGGGGGGAGGGGGGCGAGTCCTTGGTTGTGTTCTTCATCTGGCAGCTCCGCTGGAACTTGTTCACTTTGGGCGACCCTGCTGACATTTGAAATACCAGAGCCACAGCTTCCAGCCTCACAGCAACACACAAGCCACCACAGGCCGACAAAATGACAGACAAGTAAATACAGTTAGAGGAGAAGATTTTCTTGCCAGGGGAAAAAAAAATCACTAGAACCAAGAGAAGCCCATTCTAATTACTTAGGCCATCCAATCCAATCTTGGGGCGGTTATATAATCGCCTGTCAATTTGAGAAGAGGTGAAGTCTAACCTGTCAATCAGGTCATAGCTCATAATGCCTCTGTATGGGTATGACCATCTCCTGAGGACTCTGGGAACTCCTGTCTTCCTCTCTGGAGGCAGGACACATACTCTCCCTGTGAGACATTCTTGTTGACAAGCCACATGGAGCTGGAGGAACCACGTGGAGACCCACGCCAGCACTGAGATGCTTCCACTGCCAGTGGATCCACAAGACCTTCCACCCACTGGCCTGTGAGCTTCCTGCATTTGGCCTCATTGCATGTATAATATGAGTCTGAAGATGAATTTACAGACTGGTATCGGACATAGGGCCTAATATCGGACATAGAGACTTGATCGGAACTGAGCTGGAATATTTTAATATACAATTACTCTATGATATAAAGTTCTTTATTATACACACGAGTGCCTATGAATTTGTTTCTTTAGTCAACCTGGACTAACACAAATCTAAAATTAAGAGAAAAAAAGTTTTAAAAGTGTAATAGTCTAAAATTTTTGGCAAGGGTTGAATAATAAGATGATAGGTATGGAATTTACCCTACCTCCTGAAACAACTGAAAACCTGGAAGAAGAAAAAAGCAGACAAAACCATAGTTTTCAAGATATTGGTCATCACGTAATGAATGACTTAGATCCTTGAGAAACGGGAGGCAACTGAGGTGAATCATATGATTCACCTTATTACATGGAGAAAATTTCCAGGATGTAGCTCAGGGAGGGGAAACTCGGGTGAAGCCCAGGAAAGTCCTTGAATTGAAGAGACACAGCTGGGAATCCAAGGAGGCCAAGGTGGCTAGGATCTTTGGGACACTGTGAAGAGTACTTAGGAGGAGAAACGCAAGAGGTCAGCCCCTCTCACGTCTTCAGCTGATTCCTGATCAGCGTGTCTGTGAGGAAACTCCTCAAGCTGGGCAAAGGACGACCTGCAAAGATTAGAATGGAGCAAACCTTGGATATCACACCATGCTTGGAATAGTTCTTATTTCCACCAGCTTGGGTGTCAAACTTAAATTCGTGGTAGATTATATGTTGAGCTGCTTAACCACAAGGTCAGCAGTTTGAAACCACCAATTGTTCCTAGGGAAAAAGATGAGGCTTTCTCCCCACTGTAAAGAGTTAGTCTCAGAGACCCACAGGGACAGTTCTACCCAGTCCTGTGATTCATGAGTACTAGAGACTGCCCAAAATGCAGCACAGGGAGAAATGAAGACAAAGAAGAAAAGAACAGTCTCGGTGAGCTGTGGGATATGTTTACACACTTGTGAAACCATTGGCACTTGACTGGATACTACGTACATGTGTAAGGATTTCCCAACTTATCCAATTACACACTTTAAATAAGTATAGAATACACTATCCATTAGTATTCAATAAAGCTCTTAGGGAGGAAAAAAAAGGCAGGATAGGAGAGATCCCACATAAGACATTATTATTACTACTAACAGTTTTAGAATACAGAATGATTCTTTACTAATGTTCCTTAAAATTAGGGATGAAGGGCTGGAGTCAACGTTTGTCCACAGTCAAAAGGTTCCCAGCCTCTTGAGAAGGAGCACTGTGGACAGAGCTTTCCAGCCAATCTGATTCCTCTGCCACTGGTAGCATTTCGTCCTCTGTGTACAGGTTTTATATTTTCATTGTTATGTATTTTTGATTATATCACAGTCACAGGTTCAAAATCATATATATATATATCCACACACAGAAAAAGTCCTGTTTCCATTTATATAGCCATCTGTATTATTTTCCTGAATATTTTTATTACTTTGTGTATCTTTCTTAAAGTACTTTCTAGAAATACAGTGGGATGAGCAGAAACAATCAAAAGAAGTGCTCTGCATTTTCACTCCCATCCAACCCTACCGTGGAGATATTGCCGAATCAGGCTTTTTTTTTTTTTTTTTAGCTATTGCGCATCTAAACACTCTTCCACAGATGGATGGCTGGGTTGTTTCCGGTCTTCTCTTACACACCACATTGTACTCAACAACCTGGTACAGAAGACACTTTATAAATATACAAGGATGCCTACGGGATAAATTCCCAAGCGTGGGGCTGATAGGTTGAACGATAAATGCATTGTTAACCCTGATAGAGATGACTGAATTACTTGCCATCGTAGTTGTGCTGTTTTTCAGTCCCACCAGCAATACATGAGAAGGCTGATTTTCTCACGCCCTCACCAGTTACTGATATTTAAGTTGTTGCCTATCCATCAGAAAGGAGGAGCCCTGGTAGCCCTGTGGCTTAGGGTTAGCTTGTGCTTAGCTCAAATTCCTCAGCTGCTCTGTGGGAGGAAATAAGGCCGTCTGCTTTCTTAGATATTTAAGTAGTCTCAGAAACCCGACACAAGTTCGCTGTAAGTTAGACTACCTTGACGTGAGTGGGACTGTGGGCTTTGGGAGACATAGGTAAGCAACCGGATCAGAGTGTGCACTTTTTTTAAATTAAAAGATCATTTTATTGGGGGCTCTTACATTTCTCATAACAATCCATACATCAATTTTATCAAGCATATATGTACATATGTTGCCACCATTATTTTCTAGACATTTACTTTTTTATTTTAATTTTTTTGCCATTCGAATTCAATTTTTTGTGTTTTTAATCATTTTATTAGGGGCTTATATAACTCTTGTCACAATCCATACATACATCAACTGTGTAAAGCACATTTGTACACTCATTGCCCTCGTCATTCTCAAAACATTTGCTCTCCACTTAAGCTCTTGGCATCAGGTACTCATTTTTCCCCTCCCTCCTCATTCCCCCCTCCCCCTCATGAGCCATTGATAATTTATAAATTATTATTCTGTCATATCTTGCCCTGCCCAACATCTCCCTTCACCCACTTTTCTGTTGTCCGTCTGCCAGGGAGGAGGTCACATGTAAATCCTTGTTCTCCATTCCCCCTTTCCAACCCACCCTCCCTCTACGCTCCCAGTATCGCCACTCACACCACTGGTCCTGAAGGGATCATCCGTCCTGGATTCCCTGTGTTTCCAGTTCCTATCTGTACCAGTGTACATCCTCTGGTCTAGCTAGAGTTGCAAGGTAGAATTGGGATCATGATAGTGGGAGCGGGGAGGAAGCATTTAGGAACTAGAGGAAAGTTGTATGTTTCATCATTGCTACATCGCACCCTGACTGGCTTAGACATTTACTTTCTATTGAGCCCACCGTATCAGCTCCTCTTTTATCACTCCCTGCCCCACCCTGTCTTGTCACCCCTTGATAAATTATAATTATTTTCACATCTTACACCAACCACAGTGTGCTTTTAATTGCCTTTTTTTCTGGCTATGAGATGGAGCATCCTTTCCCTGTATGTGCTTGTCTCTGTCTTTTATCCATTTTGGTCCTTTTTCTACTTCGACAATAGGTAAGTCCACCCTTTGTTTATATGATATGAGTTGCCCATACTTTTCCCTAGCTTGACTTGTATCATTTGCATTTTTTATGGGTACCCCCCTCACCACCCCGCCCCAGTGGTATCGCCCTTAAAGGAGCTACTACCTATCTTTAGCTGTAGGTCCTGGCCTTCTCTGGTATGGTAAATTCCAAACTTCTCCTGTATTTCCAAGCTGCACTTTGCCACCAGGGTAATGATGTCACTCAGTTGGTTCTGTTTCACGGTCCAGAGCGCCAGGAGCACATTCCCTGCAGAGGCACAGGATAGGCTGACAGGACCTGGGCTCACGTGGCCCAGGGCAGTGCCCCAGTCATAAAGACCAAATTGATGGAATGTACATAGTGTATTGCATGTAGGTGCTAGGCAAGGTATTTTTACTCTACCCAAACCATTCACAATATAAAAATATGGCAAGGTAGAAGTTTAAAATGCTCCCAAAGCTTAAGAATATTTTTAGTAATCTTCCCTCCACTGGTATACTGACAGAGGGGAAAGGGTACTAGCAAAGACATTTCTTAAATGTTGGTTCACATTTAAGGGCTGCTTTAATTAAGTCCATTTGAAAAGATGGGACAACTCTGGGGCATTCTAGCTCTTAATGAACCTAAGAGTTCAACAGCTAGTTTCTGCTGCTAATGACCAAACTTCTCATCGGTTTCTTTAAGCGAGCTCCTCCAAGTGCTCCTTTTCCTGTCGTTCAAGCTCAGCGGAAAGCCCTGTGAGTTTAACATGCGCAAGGCTTGTCCATCGGACCCGGAGCTCCTTTGAGGCAAGAGGCTGTGTCTTCCCAGGACTCAAGGGTACAAACAGTGCACAGTCAACATAGATGTCCAATTCCAACCAAGTTTCTCTCACTCAGTGTTTTAAGTATTCAGAAAATTGAACAATACCTGTGATATTTAGGATATCCCCTCCAAAACAGAGCACATCTGAAATCACATCAGGAAGAGAGAGGGGAATGAGTCAAAATCGGAGCTATACCATGACAGAATCCCTTATGGTCAAAAGAATGGCCCCGTGAGTCTTGCCTGGTCTCTTCTGGACCGTTTCTTGGCTCCCAGGCTCAGGCTCCTTCTTTTCCAAATCTGCCCATGGCCATATCCACCTTCTCTTTCTCCCTTCAAAGCCACCCCTGCTTTGAGTCTTCTCCCACCGTCTGAAGGCTGTGCCCTCTCCCCCTCTACTGGGTCATTCCCACGAGCATCCTATCAAAAACAAGGACACAAAACAAAGAACCCACCTTTTCCTGTAGGCAATGACACTATTTTTTTTTTTTTTGCTGCTTTCCCAGAAAACCGTTTCAAGAGATGACTATACTACACTCTACCCCCTGCCTCCCCGCCGCCGCTTTTTTTTTTTTTTGTATGCCTCCTGCTCACCCTCTGGAAAAAGTTTCTCTACCACTCAGCTCACCTCACTCTGAAATTACCAAGTTCATCCACCCTAGTCATCTCGCCAAATTCAATGGTGTTTTTTCCTGACCTTGCATTACTGGACATTTCAACCCAGCTGGCTGCTGACTCTGGGAAACACATTGTCCCTGCACTTTAGGATCACCACGCTGTCCTACCTCACTAGCTCACTGCTTCCCAGGCTTTGGGGCAGGTTTTTTCCCTGGTTATAATCCTTACCTGGAGTTCGTCAAGCCTCCATCACAGGCTCGTTCTCTTTATGAACAATCTCTCTATATGAACTCAATTGGTTTTCAGCTTTAAGTATCAAGCCATCACTTGACATTTTTATCTCTAACAGATTTAGTCTCTGAACTCCGGGCTTTATCATAGAACTGACGTGACTTCTCGACTTCTTTAATCACTTATTGGAATCTCAAACTCATCATATTAAAAACAGAACCCTTAATTTTCTTCCCCATCTCAGTACACGATGCCGCTATCAGCTCAGTTACAAGAACCACTTGCCTCACTACATTTCACTGAAATCCAATTCATCAGCAACTTGTATCTCTTGAACCTGTAGAATACACTGTATTTTCCTGCATATAACTCGCCAACAAGGAGCTATGATGGTGCTGTGGGATATGAGTTGGGATGGTAACTGCAAGGTTGTTGGTTTAAAATCACCAACCACTCTGTGAGAGAAAGATGAGGCTGTCTGCTCCCATAAAGATTTAGTCTCAGGAGTCCTACATAAGGTTGCTATGATCCTACTTGAAGGCAGTGGGTTATAAATTGGTCACACAAATAACTCAAACGGTGTGCACAGGAAATTAATGCACACGTCATTTGCAGGCAGAAAAATATAGTACAGTGAACCCTCGTTTATCGCGGTTAATCGGTTCTAGACCCTACCGTGATAAATGAAATTCCGCGAAGTAGGATTCCTTATTTGTAAATCAAATATTTTCGTAGTTAGAGCATAGAGGACATGAAGAACACCCTTTAGTCACCATTACACTCGTATTACCCAATTTATTAAACGAAAAAGGGAAAATACAGTGAAACATTTTGGACGTTACAATTATCATTTATTATTTATTATATTATTTATGGCATCTAGTTTACAGTATTACATATTTCACATACAGTATTATTATACATAGTTCTTACAAATACTGTAATCAATAGCCTATGAAATGACTTAAGGGATGTACTCTACAGGTGGGTCGCCGTCTTTTTCCTCTGAAGGAGCGGGTGTAGGCAGTGGGTGCTGTTATGTAAAAACCGCGATAGAGTGAAGCCGTGGAAGTTGAAGCGCGAAGTGGCGAGGGTTCACTGTACTTCCAAATAATTCACTGCCATACATCTCCATTTCCAAGTCTAGACTATGGTTCTCAACATTGGTTATATGTTGGATAGAATTATGAAACTTAAAAACATCCTGGTGCTGTGCTTAAACCAAGAGATTCTGATTATTCTGAGTCAGGATTTTCAAAAGCTCTTCAGGAAGGTGGATAAAGTGCAGCCCAGGTGAATTACCATTTCAGACCAAACCTCCACGATTCCGGGCCTGCTACAAGTCTCCTCTACTTTCCTCTAACTACTTACCTTCCACTGGTCCCTATAATCCAATCTCCATGATGCAGCAGCCAAAGTGAACTTTAAAAGGCATCAAATCAAATCATATCATGCCTGTCAGAACCTTTCAGTAAATATTCCTTGTACAAAAAATGTAATACATCTCCTTCCTATGGTCTATAGTGCTTGATGATCGATATTCTCTAAGTCCAATATTCTCCCTGCTAACTATCCGTGGTCCACATTGACTTTTTGTCAGTTCCTAAAACATACTAAGCTTTCTCTACCTTGGGACCTTTGTAATTGGTATTCTGACAAATGCTTTAGCCTTAGCTCTACACAAGGTGAGACTCTGTCTGTCTGTCTACCTACCTACCTACCTACCATTGCATCCTGTTTAACTTCTTCAAAGGACATAAATCTATATTATTTTGCCTGTTCTATCTGGGAGAAAATGGAAACTCTTTGAGGACAGGTCAAATTCTCCTCCACCCCCCACCCCCCAGCATTTCTAGTACCCAGCAGTGCCTGGTAAATAATACACCAATAATTCCTACCTCTCCTACAGCATTGAGAAATCATAAAAGTCTTTCATACCTGCTCCTCAAAAGTAAGAGGCGAGTCCAATAACCAAATTCTTAGAGTGGATGCCACAAAGTAATTATTCTAGTTAATCTCAGGCTGGAGGTTAATTATGGGGCACTCTCAGTCAAGTCTTTGGACACGTTGTCAGGAGAGACCAGTCCCTGGCGAAGGACATCATGCTTGGTAGAGGGGCAGTGCAAAGACGTCCCTCAACCAGATGGAGGGATACAGTGACTGCAGCAATGGGCTTCAACCTAAGAACCACTGAGGCTGGCACAGGACTGGGCAATTTTTGCTCTGTTGTGCATAGGGCCGCTACCACTTGGAATCTACTTGATGGCACCAAGCAAGACCAGTAGAACCTAGAGTCCTTGGCGGCCCTGCCAGGTACGTGTTGGATTGTTAACCTGAGGGAGAAAGTTGAGGCTATCTGTTCCCATAAAGTGCATCGCCTCTGAAACCCATCCGAGGGCTGCTAGGAGTTGACATTGCCATGGCGACAGTAGGGTTTTTTTGTATTGTTTTAATCAGTAAAGTCTAGGAATATGATAAAGTACCACAGGGTATTGGTACTATTTTCAGGTGCCAGCTAGTTGATTCAACTCATAGTGCCCCCGTGGGGCCGAGTTGAAACGCCCTGCGGGTTTTCTTGGCTGCAACCGTTTCCAGGTGCCTATCACCATGCCATTGATCTTACAGAGCCATGGGGTGGGTTCCAGCTGCCTAGCACCACACCGTCCTGCCAGCAGGGCTCCTCATCGGGAGAGGACTACAGGCCAGGCTGGTTTTTGCAGAGTAGGCCTAACTAGGATCCCTGGGTGGCACAAATGGGTAAGTCCTTGATTGTGACGCCCACGTTCAAAAGTAACCAGCGGTACCTCAGCAAGCAGGCCACGGGACCTGCTTCTGAAGGGTCACTCACTGCCTTGACAACCCCATAGAGCAGGTCTAACCTGCTGCACACACGGGCTCCCCAAGAGTTAATGCTGACTTCATGACAACTAACGAGACCTAACGGCACTGGAAGCTCCAAGAGAGTGGGGGATTTGCACCAGTTGCACCTATTACAGCGTGCCATAGAGCAGGGCCTCACAAAAGGCTTACCTCACAAAGAAAGTGTTTGTTTGTTTGTTTGTTTTTCCCAGATTGGGGAAATATCCATAAGTGTAATGCAGGGCAGAAAATAAAGAAACCACCCCCTTCCGTCTCGCAGAATCACAGTGCAGTAGTAGCTTGGAAAGCATGTTAAACGATATCTGCCATTCAAACAGGAAGGAGCGCTAGTGGTGTGGTGGGTTGGGCACGGGGATGCGAGCTGTAGTCGGCAGTTTAAAATGACCAGCTGTTCTGCAGAAGATGAAGTTGTCTGCTTGCATAAAGGTTTAGTCTTTCTTGTCTGTTTTTCATGTTCCAAATGAACTTTTATGTCACTAAAGGCTCTGAGTTCACATCAGCTTTACGTTTCCTTTTTCAGCCATTCTGACCCATGTTTAGATCTAAGGGGCAAGGAATCGGCAAGGTAGTGAAGGCTGTGGGCCTTTCTTGTTTGCTTGTGTGCTCTTAGGGAAGCATATTCCACGTAGTCGCACAGCACAGCTCAATAAATGAAATCAGTAAACATATCTGTTCATCCCCCACAAATGTGGTTCTCTATTTTTCACCTAACCCTATCCCTCCCTCTGAAACTTCTCATCCCTACCTGCTCCCTCCCCCACTCATGTTGGGTCTCCGCATCCTATCTTTTGGTGTAAAAACCACTTTTAAAAAATGCTTTAAAATAATGTTACCTTATAATATTGGTGTTATTAAATACTGCATTTATTTTCATAAGATTAACTTTGCTAAGAATAATGTTTACTGGCTTTGTCCATGTCTTGCTGTGTTTAAGAGAGTTGTCATTGTTTTTTTAATCATTTTATTGGGGGCTCTTACAACTCTTTGTTACAAGCCATACATCAATTGTATCTGATATATTTGTACATATATTCTGTCGTTCTTTTCTAGAGTCATTGTTTTTTATTGATGCATAATATTCTCTGGTACGAATGTACCAAAGTTTATCTATCTCTATCATTGGAGTATTTGGTTGTTTCCATGTTTGTGTTATTTGGAAATTGCTGCAATAAACATAGGTGTGCATGGCTGTTCATGTTATGTTATCTCTTTAGGTTACTCAGTGGAGAGATTGCAGGATCATAAGGTAATTATATTTGCATTTGTATAAGGAAGTGTATACTGATTTTCATAATGGTTGTACAATTCTACAATTTCACCAGCAATGTCTGAGTTTTCCAATCTCTCCACACCCTCTCCAGCATTTATTTAAATTTGCAAAAAGTGCTGATGTGAGGTGGTGTTTCATCATTTTA